ATTTATTTATTTATTTATTTTTAAGAAGAAACCTTTCTTCCATTAATGAAAAAGCAGTCAATTACAAAGGAAAGAGGATGAGAAACAAAAGCAGAAAGAAAGCTTAAGAAACACTATTTAACTCGGACTCTTGGTAACATCGCTCAAGTTTAACACAATCATGAGAAAGGAAAATCTGTTAGGTTCCTGCACAATCCAATAATTCAACAGAAGCAAACGGGCTCGATGAGCTTGAAATGGGTCAAGTTCCTTTTATTAATCTTGCCTTTCAAAACCTCTGAGGGAAGGATTCCTCTCTCAGAGAATTACAAGAAGGAAATGGAAAGAAAACAAGAAACGATAACAATGGGGAATTCGAGGTTCCCCAGCCTCCAATAGTCTGTAACAAAAAAATGACTCAATTCACAGACAGCCCCCTCACACCCTACCCTGCTGTCTAAATACCTCTCTGCTAACAACTTGTAACTAACTTGACACATCAGCATCCCTTTTCCATAATTCCCCTACCCTCCCCTGCTTCCTGCGATTTTCCCTTCTTGCCCCTCTTCCTAGCATAGACTAACGTAATAGGAGGCCTAACATTACCCACCCCCCTTCGAGAACAACCTTGTCCTCAAGGTTGAAAGTGGGGAACTGCGATCGGATGGCTGCGACGGGCTCCCAAGTGGATTCCCAATCCGGTAGGCCCAGCCACTTAATCAGCACCTCCGGTTCCTCACCACCTCCCACAATCACTACTCGAGCAGCCAACACAGCGGATACAGAGCTCCAGGTCTTCTGACAATTGAGCGGGTAGAGGATGAACCTAAGGGACAGCTCCTCAAAATGGCTTCAGCTGGGAGACGTGGAAGACTGGGTGTATGTGAGCTTCGTCAGGCAGCCGCAAGCGATACGCCACTGGTCCAAGGCGCTCCATCACTTCGAAGGGCCCATAGTAACGCGGGCTGAGCTTCTCATTGGCGCGGCGGGCAAGAGATTTCAGCCGGTAGGGCCGCAATTTGAGCAGCACCCTATCCCCCACCTCGAAGCTTAATTCTCTCCGGTGACTATCGGCAAATTTCTTCATGCGGTGCTGAGCTAAGAGCAAGTGGGATTTCAGCAGATCACATACTTCGACTAACACCCCTGCCCCGGCTGGTGACAAGGTTCTGGCCAATGAGCTCATTTTGGCCGGCGCATAACACAATCTTGGGTCGCCACGCCAAACCACCAACGTAGGCCCAGCTCGGAATTTCATTAGGAATTTGGACCAATCCGCCCAAACACCAAGGATGCTGAGAGCCACAACACCCCTAACACCAAATCAGCCCCACCTAAAGAAATCCTCTACCACCAAATGTCCCTGGATCCAAACCTTAATATCCCGACAAATCCCCGATTGCTTGACACTCACCCCATTACTGAGTCCATAATATTGTTACTTACCGAGGGATCCGTGGGCAAGTGCAGCTCCTTCACCACCACTTCCGAGATGAAGCTATGGGTGGCGCTGCTGTCCACCAGCACCACAACTTCCCGGCCCCCAATCCGACCCCGGAGTTTCATAGTGTTGGAAGAGGATACCCCCCGCATTAAGTTCAAGGACAAGTTCACCTTTGCGTTCAAGACCTCCTTTCCTTTGTCGTCTACCATTTGAGGCTCAACGTCATCCTCACTGTCCTCCACCGACTTATCTCCTTCATCCGCCAGAATGAGAACCTGAAGTTGTCGGTTCTTGCATCGGTGTCCGGGGCTGAACTTTTCGTCGCACTTGAAGCAGAGTCCCCGGGCCCTCCTTTGCTGCATCTCTTCCTCAGTGAGCCTCTAATACGCCGCTGCCTTGCCGTACGGAAACGATGGTCCTACGCCACTACCCGATCTGGTTCCTTGCCCTAGCGCCGCCTCCTGGAGTGGTTTGGATCGAAGGGGGCCCTCAAGAGGTAAAGAACCCGCATGAAGGCCTTAAGAGACTCGCCCAAAACGCCCCCAGTGTTCAGCTCTGGGCCCACGACCCATCCTATTCCTTCTGACCCTATCAGCAGCCTCATTACGGGCTTCCGCCTGTTGGGCATGGTCCATCATCTCATGTAAGCCATTGGGCCAGTGCATCTTCAATTCGGCCCGAATATCCTCCCTAAGTCCATGAAGGAAAGCCCCCTTGAATATGGTCTCAGGAACCCCTTGCATCTGGGCAGCCGTTGATTCAAACTCGTCTCGGTAGTCCGCCACTGTCGAACGTTGCCTGAGGGCCATTAGCTGCTCCACCAGATCAACCTCCTTGGCGCGTCCAAAACGCCACAGCATGGTTGCACGGAGTTCCCGCCAAGATCGGAATGGGTCTTGTGCGTCAGCCCACTGGAACCAACCCAAGGTTCTCCCCTCTATACATACCGAAGCTACCACCACCTTCTCTTCCTCATCCACGTCGTTCATGGCAAAGTACCGATCGGCCCTAAACACCCACCCCTGGGGGTCATCTCCATGGAACAAGGGCATCTCAAGCCTCCTTCCCCGGTGCTCTGCTCGCCCCCTCAGTAGCGGAGGTGTCTCTTGGTGGTAATCCCGATTGTATCGCCGGGGCTCCTCGTGGTGGGGAGGAGGAGGCGGTGACACCGGCCTAATGTTTGGCGGTGGTCGGCGAGGGTTAGGAAACCGCTGAGGTCCAGCGTCGAACCTTGGTGGAAGTAGGGGGTTTCGCTGGAGGAGCTCCGCCTGCCGGAGTAGCAGATTCTCCAACCACTGCACCGATCCTTGAACATCCCCCATCTGGACGCCAATCTCGGCCACATCTTCCTGGAGTTTAAGGATTGGCTCCGTCATAGCCTCCACGATCTGCAACGCCTCATAAAACGTATCCATACCTACCTACAAGTAGATCTAGTATTTGTATTTTCACTTTAGGTCTTGATGATTATTATTGAGTACATAGATTTCCTCTCCATTGTTCTCTGTTCTGTTTAACGTTTTCTTCTTGCCTTGATTCTTCTCTTCATCTCCACCTCTTTCTCTCTCTCTCTCTTTTTTTTTTTTCTGTTTTTGTTTTAGTTTTTTTTTAAACCTATCCCAGTCCTACATCATTGGTACGAGAGCCAAGCCATTTCCTTTGGTCAATCCTAATTTTTCCTTTCCAAAGACGCTAAAAAAACCCTAACTGCCTCCCATAGGAAAAAAATAATAAAAAATAAAACACTGCTGACGCTGCTCCTCGCACTGCCACTGCCACCCTCTGATGACACCCACCCCACCACTGAGATCAAAAAGTCCTGATGTCAAAACTTCGTAGTCACATGACGAACCGTAGAGGAGTTCTCCCCCACATGCCACCCCGAAATTTAGTGACTCACCTCTTCGCACTCACCAATCTGTTGTGTGGTAGCCTTCACTGATGCTTAAAGACGCCTCAGAGGACGCTGGCATCACTCCGTCATTAATTTTTCCAAATCATAGCAACCGCGAAGGGAGTCTGAAGATAGACATGCAGTAAATCGGAATGCTAGCTACGATCAATCTTCCACCCCTGGATAAGGCCTTTTTCCATCCATCAAGTGTCGCAGAAATTTTATCAATCACTGGAGTCCAAAACTCCAATGAAAGGAGAGTCGTAACCGAAGGAAGACCTAGATACTTCAAGGGCCACTAACCCACCTCACCCCATTGATGATGCAATAAGTTGTATGAAATTAACCTGAACATTGATCCCTGCAATTTTACCTTTTTCCATATTAATTATCAGATCCAAACTCCTAAGAGGAGCTTTAAAATGGGATTGACGATTGTTTGAATAGTTTTGGCTACCCTTGCTTTTGTTACTAATCTTCTTTGACATTGTTTTGTAATTCTTTGAGTTGTTGAACCCTCAATCTTGAATTCACAGAGATATGGTGAACTGAGCAAGCAAAGGCTTGATCGAGCAATTCTTACGTTCTTTCAACATTTTAGGAAGTCTTATGTTGGTGATCAGGCCATGCATTCCTCGAAGGTAATTTTCTGTCTTCTTTCTGAAATAATATTTTCTCGTGTTTTCTTTTTAAGCCTTTGTCGCCAACGTTTCCTGGGCCTTTTCTTTCTGTTGCAGCAGCTATATGCTCGGCTATCTGAGCTTCTTGGACTCCATGATCATCTGCTCATGTTGAATGTAATTGTTGGAAAGATTGCTACAAACCTTAAGTGTTACACTGAGGTAATCAGCTGGTTGGTACTTATGTGCCGTAATGTTGTGTTATTACGGCATGTAGTAAAATATTTTTGTACTTTTCTGATTTCAGAGTGAGGAGGTCATTGATCACACTTTGAGTTTGTTCTTGGAGCTGGCTTCTGGGTTAGTTTTGTTACTCAAAAAGTGTTTTGGATGAACGCCTTAGAGCCTGTTTTTATTTGTTAAGTCTACTTGTTCCTCTAAAAAAACTTCGTAAATAAATGCTGATTGTGCCGAGCAATATTTTGGCAGATACATGACCGGAAAGCTTCTTTTGAAGTTGGATACTGTTAAATTTATAGTTGCAAATCATACTGTAAGGCCAACCATTTCTTTTGTCTGGTTACTTTTTTATGTTTCCACTCCTTGAACTGCTTTCTGATATGAGTTATTCTGCATCCTTAACTGAAATTCGTTTCCCCCTAAATCTCTAAACCCAGAGGGAGCACTTCCCATTTCTAGAAGAATATAGATGTTCTCGCAGCAGGACGACTTTCTACTACATAATTGGTTGGCTAATATTTATGGAGGAAAGTCTAGTGAAATTTAAATCTTCGATGGATCCTCTTTTGCAAGTACTCTCTCTCTCTCTCTCTCTCTCTCTCTCTCTCTCTCTCTACAGTTGCAACTTTTTATTTGATTTTACTAACACATTGCACATGGTTTCTCAGGTTTTCATCAATTTGGAGTCAACTCCCGATTCAATGTTTCGCACTGAGACGGTGAAATATGCATTGATTGGGTTGATGAGAGACCTTAGAGGAATTGCTATGGCCACAAACAGGCAAGTATTTTTGCATCTTTCCCACTTGAATTTAAGAGGCTCAAACAATTTTTTAAACTGTTTTTCTCATTTCTTCCTTCTTAATATATTCCAGTCGCAGAACTTACGGGCTTCTTTTTGATTGGCTCTATCCTGCACACATGCCACTTCTTTTGAAAGGCATTTCACATTGGTCTGACACACCAGAGGTAGGCGTTGAGTTATCCTTTATTGGAAACTTGAACAGTTTTATGGCAGATGTAAAATTATTCGCTCAACTCAATTTATTTTGATTCTTTAACATTAGGATTGAAATATATGAAATAGTTAAAATAGTTCTATAAGTTCTGAATCATTCCCACTTACATGAAGAAAGATATGGAGAGGGAAAGGAAGAGATTTTCTGTTTGAAAAATGCATCCTTTTCTCTTGTTTTATAGTTGGTGCCGTAACAAGAAATTATCCAATAAAAATAAACTCTACTCAGGAGTTGAATGCAGCTCGAATACACCTTTAAACTAAATTAAAAATATGGTTCTTACCTCTCTGCTGTTGGATGACAAAAGCTCAGATGACGTAACAAGAAATTATCCAACAAAAATAAACTCAGATCAGGAGTTGAATGCAGCTCGAATACACCTTTAAACTAAATTAAAAATATGGTCCTTGCCTCTTTGCTGTTGGATGACAAAAACTCAGATGACGCTATAAGCCAGTTTAAGTGTTGTTATATTACTTGGAGCTGTTCAACCTGAACCCATGAAACATACTATTTTAATAAGTAGTGTCCTTGTTTCATTTGCATTTGGTTTTATTAGGTTAATTGTATTTTTTTCTCCTCTTCTCTGTGTCATTCTGCAGGTTACCACGCCATTGTTGAAGTTCATGTCTGAGTTTGTTCTAAATAAAGCCCAACGTTTGACATTTGACTCGTCTTCTCCCAATGGCATACTTCTTTTCCGTGAAGTGAGTAAATTAATTGTAGCATATGGCTCAAGGATTTTAGCTCTTCCAAATGCTGCTGATATATATGCTTTCAAATACAAGGGAATATGGATTTCTTTAACTACTCTCACGAGAGGTGAGAACATGAACCTCCGTTTCTCAGAAAAGCTTGGTGAATCATTGCACGTTTTTTAGTTCAACTAAGAACTCTAGTCCAATGAAACAAAAACCTCCATGAGGGAACTTTTTTGGGTCGATGAATCAATGCAAGTTCATCTTGAATAAAGTGAGTTCTTTCGTGGTTATTAATTTAATTGGATCCGAGAGGAATTCTGACTGTTCTCTGGTTGGAACATGATAGATCAACAGATAAAGATACCTCTTCCTGAGTTTGAGTTTGTTCACGTGATTTCTATTTACTAGCAGTGCTACTGATATAGGTTTTAGCCAACTTACAACGTTGCTTTAATTCAAAGTACTAATGTTCCATATTTTTATTTGATGGAATTGGTTGAGTATTTATTAAATAAATTTGAGCGAATATGCATAAGCTGATTTTGGTCTATTACCCCTAATTGGTAGCTCTTGCTGGAAACTACGTCAACTTTGGAGTGTTTGAACTTTACGGTGACAGAGCGCTGGCTGATGCACTTGATATTGCACTGAAGATGATATTGTCTATTCCTTTGGCTGATGTATTGGCATTCCGAAAGGTACACAAACTTTGTCCGCAAGTCTATTGGAACTTAGTTAAGTGGAACTTATTTTTATTTGGTTGTCTATATATGGTAGGATAAATTTACTACATTGGAAGTTCTGAACAAGATGGGTTTTACATTATTTTGCTTCATTAAGGTAGTAAGAAAAATCATAACAATACAGAGCCCTCCCGACTCAAAATAATCAAAGAGGAATTCTTAAACTGCTTGGAATTCTTAAACACACCCGATAATCCTTTCTGCCAAATAACTCCCCATTATTTTCTTTACTTTCAAAGAGCTTCTTTCCTCTCCAACTAAACCGCCCAGAAAGTAGCCAACACTGTATGATATTGTAAAAGGTCCACTTTAGAACTGGATAAGCCAACAAACCTGATAGAAAAGGGTCTGAATAACTTATGGGAAAATTTTTCGCAAAGTTTAAATGTTCAAAAAAGGGGTTTTCCATCGTTTAGATGATTATTGCTAGTATGTCGTGATTTCAAAGTTCAATTTGTCCTTATAAAGATATAACTTGTTCACTTGATTGCTGTGATTTCTAGGTATTTTATATTGTTTGTTGTTTTTACATGTTTAAGTTCTTGCTGTGGCCTATAATAATTAAGAGCTGCTTTTATCATTTTCTTTCACAGCTAACGAGGGCGTACTTTGCATTCCTGGAGGTTTTGTTCAATAGCCATATTAATGTTATAATGAACTTAGATACAAGCACCTTCATGCATATAGTTGGGTCCCTAGAATCTGGCCTAAAAGGTCTGGATACAAATATCTCGTCACAGGTATGCCAACCATCTATCTAAGAACATTTGATTAGTATGTAATTCTAGTAATTGATTTAATCTCTAAAATTGGCACCACCTTCTTCTTCTTCTTTAATCAGTTTGTAATTCTGGTATTTGGTTTAATATCTAAAATTGGCACCACCTTTTTATATTAACGTTATTCTGGTTGTACTCACTTAAGCACAAAATAATCTTTATCCTTCAGTGCGCATCTGCTGTTGATAATTTGGCTGCCTTCTATTTCAACAACATAACTATGGGAGAAGCACCCACAACTCCTGCTGCAATTAATCTTTCTCGTCACATTGCAGACTGCCCCAAATTGTTTCCAGAAGTAAGGAAAACTGCATTTTATACTATTGTTTGTTTGTTAATTTATGCCCTGTTGAATTCTGGAAGAAGAATGTTGCTTCTGTTGGGTAATTCTTATGCCTTCTTGTTTATGAGGGACATGGTATCTTCATTTCCCCCATTTTGTAGTGCTCTGCCTTGAAATATTTTTCTTTATTCATTATTTTTCTTTTTTGCTTAATTGTTATCTCTGTCTCTTATTTATTTATTTATTTTCCCCTCATGCGTTCAGATATTGAAGACCCTGTTTGAAATTGTTTTATTTGAGGATTGTGGCAACCAGTGGAGTCTGAGCAGGCCAATGCTTAGCTTGATCCTTATTAGTGAACAGGTTAGTTTTTAATCTTTAGATTTTCATTCTGATTTTGTATATAGCATTCTGCAAAGTTACATAATTTATGTTATATATGACTTCTCAATCTTGAAGGGTCATTAATACGTATAGCTCATCTGTTTATCCCATTTCATTTTGTGATGCAAAGTAGAATGTTCAGAATATTCTTTTTGTCTATTTCTTTGACAATTGAACATAAGTCATAAAGCTTGCTTTGTTGCGTCTTCTCCTAATTCATAACCATCGTGAAATATGAGAGAATGAATATGAATTCTCATTGATTTAATGAATAATTTTACGGAGTATTAGAAGACTATATTAGAATACACGCATAAACTAAAAAGGAAATAATCTATGCCTATTAATCCCATGATTCCAGGGATATCAAGAAAAATATTCTACACACTAATTTAGTCATAGTAATCAGGAAACTAATTACAAAAAACTAATTACAATTTACAGCTGTATTTTCCCACAATAACCCGTAAGAGGGGACAATTGTTAGCCAAGAAGTGTGTCTCTTGGTTCTAGAATTCTAGTCTTTGTATTCACGTTTTAAAATATAATGTGCTAACCTCTTTCTTCCCCTTTTTCTTCTTTTCTCAATACAAGGAAAAAAAAAAAGAAAAAAGAAAAAGAATTTCTCAAGCGATGCAAAGTTTTGGTGAAGTCCTTATGCTTTTGGTTAAAAAGGTTTAGAGAAGAAAGACAATCGCTGGGAAACTTTCTCTTAATTTTATTGAAAACTGAAGGATTTGATTGCTCAAGTACAGAGATGTCGTTTTAATTAACACTATTAATAGTTAAACAAATAAATGAAGGTATGGAGATGTTTACCAAAATTTACCTGCTAAAACTACTAAATAATTGACAATTAGCATAGTTAAACCCCACCGTTTCCCGTCACCCTCTTTATTTTTTGGCTTACAATGTCCTTTTGTTTTGGAAACAAATCGAGTTCATGAGATTTGAATTGTTTCACCTTCTTTTAGCTCTCTGCTTTTGTCACTATTTGTTGTCTCTAGTGTGTTAATTTATCTTTTTATTTTTGATTTTTGATTTATTTTATTTATTTATTGCTAAAACTAGTGTTAATTTATCTTTGACTGAAAAGCGTTGCTTTCACTTGCAGATATTCTCTGATTTGAAAGTTCAGATTTTGGCTTCACAGGCAAGTTGCTCTCTCTTTTAATTATTTCTTTCAAATTGATAAGATAGAATAAACCTGTCATTTAGTTGGATTTTTATTCTTCTGTGGCACGAGCAGTTTCGCCTTCTTTCCCTTGTTTTTGAAATGTCACATTACACATCGTAGAATTTGGTTTGTTTTGTATGCATACCTTGGAATTGGCTTGCACCTTACGGTGTTAATGAATGTAATGATAGTGTGAAAAGAACAAATTTGAAGATATTGATAAATAAATAAAAAAGGAAAAAAGGAAACAAATGCTGATACTGAAGCGCGAAGAGAGAGGCAAAATAATTTGATTAATAGTGATCCTAGATGATTAGTGAGTTCACAGTGTGCGTGTGAGTTTCTTCTCTTTTTTTTCCCCTTTTTTTTTGGGCGTCATCCTTGACACAGGAAACTGTTTTCGGCATCTTACAGCCAGTGGATCAGCATCAACGGCTTTTCTCGTGCTTTGACAAACTAATGGCTGATGTCACTCGAAGCCTGGATTCAAAGAACAGGGACAAGTTCACTCAGAATCTGACTGTATTCAGGCATGAATTTCGTGTAAAATAACTCCATTCTATTACAAGTTCCTAATACTATTACCTGCTTGAAGTTTTTCTGTTTTGGAAGAATCAAAGGCTACTTCTCTAGTGTAAAACAAGAAATCTCGTCTTGGGAGAAGGTCGTCTTTGTTTTGTTGATTGGTTTTGTTTGATGAATGAAAGAGAAGCTGGTTACTTTTGAAGTTTGTTGGGTTTTATGGAACGACAAAGATACAGCACGAATTCCCAGTTGTGATAACGTACAGTTATTGTTGTACTCGGCGATGAGAGCTCAGGAGCTGAAAACATAAATTCCATTATACAACTATGAAGATTTCTCAGGTTTCTAGAAGCTAGTGGCCGGTTTGACTATTAATTGGGATTTGTAGTGCCTTTTCTTTTCTTTTCTTTTGTTGTAGTGTATTGATTATTCTTTTTTTGATCCACGAAAGATGTAAATTACCCATCTGGTTTGCGCTAACAGATGATTAGTGTTCCTCAATTACATTTGTACATTGACTATTACATATTCTTTGTATTTGTTGATAATAGAAGAAATGAAAATTCTTAGTGATAGCTCTTTGTCCTGTTACTTTTTAGCTTGAAGTTCTCTCTTTACCTTCTCCCGTAATTCTTTTACAAAATTGTTTCCAGACTTAACAAGAGATGATATTGGTTGGAATGGGCCCCAGCCATTTGACTTCTTTAAGATTCTCATTATTTCGTGACATAGTTGGAAATCAACTTGTAAATCCCACCAGATGTCTATGTTTACCATGTACAGAACATACTAATTCTGAGGTTGCAGTTGATGGGCAGTTCGTTTTAGCTTTGCTGCTTGCATTTGTCCGCACATTGAAAGGTCTGCGCATTTAATATCATCTGTTATGTGAGTCGCTATTATCGTGTAAGAACTATTATATGTTAGTTATTTATTTATATGTACTTAAGTACCGAGTTTTAGAAACGTTAAAGTCTTGTTCACTTCACTGATTCGAGTTTAGAATTCGAGTTTTACTACAGTAAAAAGTTCTCAAAAACAGTCACATTTAACTTTTTTATTACAGTAAAAAGCTTTCACATAAAATTACATCTCAACTCGAATTATAAACTTGAATCAGCGAAATGAATGGGCCCAAAGTATCTCTCTCGTCGGCCTGCCAAATAGGTTTTGATTAAGATGATTTTGGACTGTTTAAATGTTAGTTAATGAAGAATGGCTTAGGATTCTTTGAAAAAATTGCTGAATTTATCTTTAAAGTGTGTAAGTTTAAATTTTTACTCATTATTTTTAATTAATATCCTTTTAACTAATATATTTATTTAATTAAAAAGGATATTAACAAGAGTAGATGTAAAAATCTAAAAATTATGCATTTTAAAAAGTATTTGTCTCAGTTTTTTTTTCACTTATAATTTTGATAGATTGTCAGATGACCATTTGGATTGGAATTTACATGAAAATCAGTAAACCTGATAATACATTACATTGTAGTTGCTACAAAAAAAAAGGTGCAGTTACTAAACATAGGACACTTTTATGGTGCCGAGATAGTAATTAGTAAATCCCGACACTAGTGTCGTGAAATCCAATGTTGACATGTGGCCCAAAAAAAAACAAAAAAATAATTCTGCGACCCGACTGGGTCAATGAGGAAATGAGCCCTTAAAATAAATTGAATAAAAAAGAGGACGGGCCTAAATTCCTAATCAAAATTCAACAAGCTTTTTTTTTACGAGGAAAAAAGAAAAATACTCTTTAAAGTATATGGATTTGAATCTTTATTTTTTATTTTTAATTAAATAATTATATTAGTTAAAAATATTAATTAAAAATAAAAAGTAAAAATTAAGACTCAATAATTTTCTTTTTTTCTTTATTTATTTTGTTATTGTTTTTTTGTTTTTTTTGTTTAATCCTTTTTAAAATCAAGAAGCATATTGAAACTAAGTACAAAGTTTAAAGAAAAAGAGACAAATATCTTTTAAAAGTGCATGAGTCAAGATTTCTACCTTTATTTTTAATTAATAATTTTTTTGATCAAATAACTATATTAACAAAAAAGTATTAATAAAAAACAAGAGATACAAATCTAAACCCATGCACCATTAAAGGTGAATTATGTAATTTTCTCAAAGTCTTTTTTAAGAGGCATTAATGAAGTTAATTCTTTTAACTTTTCATTTAAAACCTAAATTTGACCTTCCTTGTCAAATATAGTTTAAGTGACGAACGAAAATCAGATTTGCAAATACTAAAAAATTTAAAAAAATTTAAAAAAATTTAAAAAAATTTAAAAAAATTTAAACTTCAACTCTCTAATCAACAAAATGTTTTGGGTGCAATTGTGCAAAAAAACAGGACATTTCTTCCCGTTAACTTTCTTTAGCTGTCACTGCGATTAAAAATTATAATGAATTTCCAAATTTATCATATGCACTCACTACTAACCTGTAGCCATTAAAAAAAAAAAAAATCACTTAGCTTCTCCCACGGTTTTCCATCGTGGATATAGCCCGACTACAAAGTACAAAAACAATAATAACCGAGCAGAGCCCCCGGCTACGCACCTAATGAGGGACTAAATATGCTCAGCATGTGTAGTAACTCCGTCAAAAATATGATTTCCTAGCACCTTTGAATCACCGATTTTACGGCATTCACCGACGTCGTTGCCAACTCAACAGCCGCTCCAACATAGGTATGTGGTGTCAACTTCAATAGCTCCGTCTTTGCTTCTTTAGGCAATTCCAATCCTTCAATAAATTCTCGAATACTTTCTTTGGTAACCGCTCTCCCCCTTGTTAGTTTCTTTAGCTTCTCATAAGGCTCGGGAACACCGTATCTTCGCATAACCTGTGTGTATTATGTGTATTGTACAAGTATGCAGATAAAATGAACAACGATCAAGAAACTGTTACACATATGAGCACTTATGTAACAAGAACTAGATGCATTGTGTTGACCAAAACAGTACATAACAAATAAACTAAGCATATAAGAATATAAAACAAGTAAACACGGGGAAATATAAGCTTTGGGTTCTAAACACAGAGGAAATATTAAGGCCGGCAATATGGGTCACGACACGACTTGAAAACGACACGAATTTTGCGAATTAAGGTTGAGAAAAAAGAGATTCGGATCAGAATTGGGTCGACCTGAAATTGACATGAAAAACATTGGTCAATTTCGGGTTGGACCCGCCTAACCCGAACACGACACGAAACTCGTAAAAAACTAAAAAATACAAATATTTTTCATTTCATATTTTAAATTTTATTATGAACTTGTGATATCATGATAGTTATACTCAAAATCTTATATTATTATTTGCTTAATTTCAATGGATGTTATTATAATTTAGTGTGTTATAAATTTTAAGTTATTTCTAATATGTAAAAAACTAAATAAAAGTATACAATTTTCGTGTCAATTTCGGATTCACGGGTCAATTTCGTGTCACGGGTTATTTTCGAGTCGTGCCGTATCACTCGTAAAATGATCGTGTCGTGCTCGTGTTGCAGTTTTTAAAAAATTTCGTGTCATGGGTCGTATTCGGGTTGACTGTAAATTAAAAAAAAAACGATCAAAACACGACACGTAATACAAATTGCCACCCCTCGAAAATATACTTACAGTTTGTATTGGTTCAGCAAGCACCTCCCAACACTGTTCCAAGTCCTCACTCAAGCGAGCTTTGTTGACCTAATTAAGCAAAAAAAAGAAAAAGAAAAAAGAAACACACTTTATTCAGAGATCAACATATATTTCAAGTCATTCAAGGTTTCAATTACGTCGGTAAGACAATTTTTTGGTAGATAATACCACGTGATTTTTGAGCTTCCTCAATAATTTAAGATTCTTTAGTCTTATCACTTTTATGGTACTGATGATAAAATAATATCGAAATAGATGAGTTTCCCTAGTCTCATCACTTCTGCCGTACTAAATGAACATGCTAACAAAATATCAAAAAGGATGAGTGTCCTTTACTGAGTTGCAATTGAAGTCTCATTTAACACATCCTTATAAAGTCTAGTAATACAGCATCTAAGCCAAGACTAAGTTCTTATTAAAAAAACACACGAAACAAGTCTAAATTATGCAGTTGTAAGGGTCGAGCATTATATATCAATTCACACCTGAAGTTTTTCAATTCCTTGTAGCGTACTTTTATAGGCTAGAAGAGAGTGCCCCAGTCCCACACCCATATTTCTGAGAACGGTTGAATCCGTCAAGTCACGCTGCAATTACAATGCAGAAGAATAAAATATTATAACCAAAACTACTTCAGCACCAGTCCACTCACTCCAACCCAGCAAGTTAGTAACTGCACCCTTTGATACTGATTTGGACCACCATCAGTTCTATTACATGCTAACATATAAACATAAAAATAAAAAGATTAGGTTGATTTCTCAATATGCCACTAAAATACCAAAGGAGGAAGACGTTAAACAGAGGGAGGGAGTTAAAATAGAGACCGGAGAAATTTTTACCTGAAATCGGGAGATTGGCAACTTTGTGCTTAGGTGAGATAGAACTCCATTAGCAATGCCAAGATTACCTTCACTATTTTCAAAATCAATGGGGTTCACTTTGTGAGGCATAGTTGACGACCCAATCTCTCCAGCCTTAGTTATCTGCTCAAGTTTTTAACACGAACAATAAATCTCTTTGGCAAAGACAAACTATTTAATATATATATATATATATATATATTCATTTTTCATCAGACTGCTTACCTGCTTAAAGTAACCCCACGATATATAGCCCCATATGTCTCTATCAAAATCAATCAATACATTGTTGAATCGGTAAACTGCATGAAACAGTTTCGCCATATAGTCATGGGTCTCAATCTGCAAGAGTAGCAAAACAAGTAAATTGTAGACTACATAAAAGCATTTTACGCTCAAGGTAGTGATGCTTTTCCTCTTTATTTTTTCTCCGTTTGGTGTCCATTGGACAAAAGAACCTAATATATTTCTTCATCTCATTTTACCATTTTCAGAGACATCTTCATCAACAGTACAATGTTAACATTGCAAATCCTTTAAATGATTATCTATATTTATCCTTATTTGAGAATTCGGATGACACATTAACCAATTTCTTTATTCGAACTTACAAAATAAAGGTTTTGAGCATTTCCTATTGGCTACCACCCTTAGTTAACCAATAACATAAATCTTCTCCAAAATGAATGGTAGATATAAAATGAAAACTTTTTTACTCTAGAATATAGGTGTAATGAACACCAACAAACCTGACTAACATAAGGATTGAAAGTCAATCCAAGAGATGTTACAAACTCCTCAGCAATGTGGGGCCAATTGGTACCAGGATATGCAGCAAGGTGGGCATTATAATTACCAACTGCACCAGCAAACTTCCCCATTATCTCAACCTCGGAAATATCCCTTCTTTCTCTACTTAGTCTGACAGCAAAAATTGCCATTTCTTTCCCCAAAGTTGTTGGTGAAGCTGGCTACACGCGGGAAAAACAGGACTAACGTTACTCATACTAGGAGGCAAAACTGATAATGGTGCGCATAGTTTTTTTTTTTTTGGTTTGATAATGCTCTAAGAAAAGTGTTTCCAAAAGTAAATCCATTCAAGATGCGGTTCAAACTTCAAACTGAAAGAATTTTCATGTTTTGGCACAAACAAAAGTTTGTTCAGGTAGGAGGTAACTAATCATTTCTATTCTTGAAAGTAATATCCTTTACCTGCCCATGGGTTCGAGAAAGCATTGGAATATGGGCATTGTCCTTAGCCATGTTAGATATTGCATCAATCAAATGATCAATAACAGGAAATATAGTATTGTTCAGAGCTTCTTTCAACATCAGTGCATGAGCGAGATTGTTAATATCTTCGGATGTGCAAGCGAAATGGAAAAATTCCAGCACCTTTAATGATAAAGTAATAGTTAGCCAATCTCAAAATTTTCAAAATGATCTAAGAACGTGAGGAAGTCCAAAGAAGCAGGTTATTTCAGCATCTGTAGAATCTATGAACCGATCCCAAACCTTGACTATCTCCGGATGAGACTCGCATTTCTGTTTCAAGAAGTATTCCACTGCTTTTACATCATGGTTTGTCACTTTCTCTATATTTTTTATTGCCAACGCATCACCCACAGTAAATCCGTCAACAATTCCTTGCAAAAAAGACACTGCATCGTTGCTAAAGGTCGGAACCTCTTTAACTTCAAGAATTTGCGAAAGCTTTAGCAACCATTGGACCTGAGAAACGGTGCTTCCAGAATTCAAATGGACATACCAAAATAAACCCAGAAATTGGAAGATGACAAAATGTGAACTTCATTAATTTTCTTTTTTGACAAGAAAATCTTATTCAAACTTAAAAGGACTATTAAAAGTTCTTGTTTTTTTTTTTTTTTGGAACCCAGTGCCACTTTCAGAATCTGCTGGACCACAGGTGGAACAGAAAGGCAACTAGTTCATGCTCGCATCAACAATTTCGTTCATGCACATGAAACACACAACTTCACTATTTCAGAGAACAAAATGCAAATGCAAAGAACCGAAGTTCTAACGAATGAAAAAGGAGAGACATGAAACGATTGTCCCTTGCTGCTATGACGCCACCAGCAGTCATAACTATTAAAAGTCATTTATTTAGTTATTCCTAGCACTAGATGCATCAGAAAACCAAACAAAACTAAACTAAGAATATGATAAAAGCTAATCTATGTTCTATAATACTCCATGAGACAGAAGCAATGCGTTTCCTTCATTTTCTTTTTCGTAAAAACAAAATTACAATACTTCACAAACATAACAAACAAATAAGAAAATTAAATTAAAAAAAAAAAAGTACCTCCACTAGAACGCGATAGTATATAAGCGCATATTCACTCATATAAGGTGCCAAGTCCTTCACTTTGCCCCAATAGCGACCGTCCAATGGCGATAAAGCCGTCAAAATCGAATGCTCCAATTCTCCAGACATCTTCTTCACCTTCTGAACACACAAACAAATTATATAAAACAATTGAAAAGAAATGTACTTTTTCTACAGCGACGTATGAACAAGCGCAAGTGAAAACTGAAATTCATGAACGAAAGCAACTGAAAACTGAAATTGTAGAAACCTTTTCGGTGGAAATATCGATCTCTTTGAGACTGGCTCTGAGAGCACAACGTCTCCGAGGCAGTGAACAGGAAGCCTTTGATTGATGAGGAAGAAGAGAGAGACTTGGACGTTCATTTGGCCTCTGGAATTTGGTAAAATTACACAAGGAGAATTGTTTGCCGTTGGAAACCGCAGAAGAATTTCCCAACTCCATGGAAGCTAAAAAGTAAAAACACGCTAAAATGTCAGAGCTTCACTCGGCCGGCGCCTGAGCTTCACCCGACGCCGCAGGTCAAACCCTAGCAGAGAAGAAGGAGAGGAGAGAGAGAGAGAAGAAGGAGAGGAGAGAGAGAGAGACGTGAAGAAGCAGAGAGAGGAGAGAGAGAGAGAGAGAGAGAGAGAGGAACTGTTGGCTAAACGCTTATGCTAAACCCTTAGAATGACTATAAATAATGAGGCATGTTGTTTATCAGGGACTATCGGCTGCATTCTGCAATGGATTAAAAGATTGGGGATTTAAATGCTAAGAATAAAAGGCTAAAAATTCAAAAGAAGCCTTTCTGTTTGGGTTAATCTTATTTTTGGTCTCCGACTTGTAAACCAATTCTCATTTTGGTCCTTGAGATGTTCGAGAACGAGTTTCTAATTTACAAAATTATCGTAAATTAATCGTTTTGTTCGTATAGATTAAGAGAACGTTTGGTTTATATATTCAGAATCATGATTCAGAACCATTCTTATTTTACGTATGTTTTTTGTGAGAGAAAAATATTGTAAAAAACTATGAATCATAATTCAGAATTATGAACGAATATAGAAAACAAACGTCTAAGTCTCTTTGTTTTATTAATTAAAATCACAATTTAAAATTTTATTATTATTATTATTATTTTATTATTTTTATAAATTTAACTTTTTTATTATAATATTTTTTTTAACATAAATTCACTTTTTAACTCGAGTTAAAAAAAGAAGCTTATCTCAATAAAAATGCATATAAGGACTATATGTGACTTAATAAGAGTTAATTTTGCACATTTATATATTGGGATATGACTAATAAGAAGGATATTGTGTTTTTTACTAAACGAGATTTTAACAGTTAAATATACAAAAGGACAAATCTGAGACAACATAAATCGAGGACTCATTCTGATGTGTTTCAAAATCTAAAAGATCAAAATAAAATAGTATTAGTCACAAAACTTTTCTCCAAATTATAATATTTATAACACTTTATCCTTATATTTTTAAAACGTAACATTTTTTTCTTCAAAATATAAGAAGTTAATAAAGAAGACCATTTCATTAGAATCTCTAATAGAATGGACACTAGACACATATTACTCTTTTACTCATCTCTCTTAATTTGTATTGTTAGAACAAGCCTAAAATTTTCGGTTAACGTGATAAAGAATAAACATTGAGATTGCAGATATCAGTAAATACTTTTAATTTCTAAGAAAAGTGTTTTGAAAATACAATATTCGCTAAAAAATAATTAATTTCCAATTTTCTCAAAAACTTTATTTATTTCAACTTAATTAGAAGAGTAAGTACAAAACTTTGTTTGCTTTATTTCTTATCATATTAACTAAAAATTTAAATATGTATTGAAAAGTATAAATTAAGGGGATAGATAAAGAGTATTTATGCACTAAATTATTCAATAATAATCCTTATGAGTATGACATGTGTCTATTTTGTTCGAGATTCTAATGAAATGTCTTTTTTGTTAACGTCTTATACTTCAAAATGAACAATAATAGATATTACGGTCTCATTCATTTTATCAATTCGAGTTTTCAGTTTTAAATTTCTACAGTTAAAAACTCTTAAAAAATTTCACATTTAATTTTTTTTTGCTACAGTTAAAAATTCTAAAAAAATATCACATCTCAATTTAAATTAAAAACTCAAATTCACAAAGTAAACATGACTTACGTTTAAAAATTAAATAGTAAAGTATTACGAGATTCCTAATTTAAGGAGAATTTTTGTAGTTAATGGACAAAATCCAAAGTTTAGGAACCAAAAATGGGGTTACCCCAATTAAATAAGTTAAAAGTGCGGGTCAATTCCAAAATAAGAAAAAGATGAAAAAAAAAATGTCCCTCCATAAAGGACCAAAAAAAAAAAAAAAGTGAATTGGGCAACCGACCATTCACATTTCGTTTACCCCGAGACGATCATCCAATTCTACACTAGAGTGGAGGAAAAAGAAGAGAATTAAAGATAAAGAAGAACACAAAATCTAAAGCCCTCAATCGTCGACCTCTCCAATACCAAAAGAAAAATCCCTAGGTAAGGATTGATTTCCAAAATTTCTTTACCAATTTTTTAATTATATATATATATATATATAAATATATGTAAAGTGGCGACGAACTTTACGATAAAGATTACGATTTTACGAATAAACAATTAGGGAATTTCTATTTATTTGTTCTCCTTCTTTTCGGTTTTTTTTTTGTTTTGTTTTTTTTTTGTTTTTATTATCGATTGATGATAGAGAGAAGAAGAAAGAGTTAGGCTTGGAAATTGGAAGATGACACCAGTTTGTCCATTCGTGAAAGCTTCTCGCCCAGACGAGGCCTCTCCGAAGAAATGTCCTTTTGGCTTTGATTCCCAAACGACAACTTCTAACAACAAACAACAACAACAACAACAACAATCGTCTGTCGTAGAGGCGAAATGCCCATTTGGGTATGATTCTCAGACGTTCAAGCTGGGCCCACTTAGCTGCGTCATATGCCAAGCTCTTACCTTTCAGTGCAGCAGATGTGTTCCTTGTACTCATGCTTTTTGCAAGTAAGGATTTTGCCGATCCAGTTTTTGCGGTCATTTTTTTGGACTAGTTTCTGTTTTGTTTGTTTGTTTTGGATAATTGATATAGCTCATCATGTGACTGACTGTTAAATGTGTTACTAAGTGTAGGGGAAAAAAAACAAAAAACAATCTATGCGCGTTAATTATGAATTTAAATTAAGAAAGGATTTTCTCCCGAATCGAGTTCATAAGTTAGCATTAAGTTGTCATTTTAGAAGTGTTTGCAAAGTTGCTAGAGTTTAATTAAATTGAGAAAATTGCTGAACTTACCATAGAGTGCATGGGCGTAGATTTTTACCTTTTTAACTAATATAATTACTTGATGAAAAAAGATATTAATCAAGGTGTAAAAGGCTGGACTCTCCTTTCCCGTTTTAATTTGAGTCAGGTTTGTTTTAAGACCCTTTGGTCTAATGGCATGGAGTGGGCAGTTGGGGAGGACTTTGGGTTGGGTTGTGGGTTCGGTGCCACTTTTAGTCTTTATATCTTATTCGCATGATGGTACATGCTATAACATATTATTTCCTCTGAAAAAATAATAAATTGAATTGGGTTTTTATGCGCATTTGATGAATGCGAATGATCTTTTCAATGTTATTCTAGAAGGAACCCCAAGGGGTTGGCTCAGTGCTTTGCATGGATCCTGTGGATTTGTCGGGGTAAAGTCTCGGACACCACGGTTATCTGAAAAAAAGAAGAAAAAAGTTATTCTAGAATGGATAGTAACCAATGTAATGGTGTCAATTCATTTTAGATGTGAATGGGGGGAGAATTTTCAAGGTGTAGCGTTGTTACTTGTTTGTTTTTTGTTTGAGTTATATCGGACCGGGTGTTGATTGATTAATTTGTTTTCTGCATGGTACTAGAGCATGTATTTCACGGTTTAAGGATTGTCCGCTTTGTGGAGCTGATATAGAGAAGATTGAAGAGGATGAGAAAATTCAGAGCATGGTGGATCGCTTCATTGAAGGTCATGCTAGAATTAAGCGAACCCATGTTGATAATAATGTAGAGGAGAAAGAGGAAGGTGGGGCTGATTCTCAGAAAAATAAGACTGTGATTTATGAGGATGTGTCTTTGGAGAGAGGTGCTTTCTTGGTTCAACATGCCATGAGGGTCAGTATTTGTGGCTTTGCTGCTCGAATTGTCAACATTATTCCAAATTCTCTTGGCTGATTTTTGTAGGATTGAACATGTATTGAGCTTTTTACACAGCTTTCTGTGGCATTGGCTAGTTTCGTTTAGTATCATTGTGCGTGTTTGGAACCGTTTTTGAAAACGGTTTTCATGTATTTTGAGAAGCAAAAAATGAAAATGAATACAAAACGATGCTTGTTTAGAAAATGTTTTGAAAACGAAAACAGTGAGAATGGTTTTTGTGAAGGAATTAGAAAACAGTTGAAAGTAGTTTTTACTTTTCTGTTTTTATTTTTTAGTACTTATCAACAATATTATAATATATTAATTAATAAACACGATTTCACTTTTTTATTATCCTCAAAACAATCTCTTAAAAGACCAACCAAACGCAATTTTAAAATCGGTCCCAGAATGATTTTTAAAACAATCTCGTTTTTACTTTTTATTAAAAACAAAATCATTTTGAAACCAATTCTAAACGCACCAATTGTGTTGCATTTTCATCGTGCTTTATCTATGAAGTCACATTAGCCTTCATGTGCAGGCATTGCGAGCCCAAAATTTTGAAAGTGCCAAGTCAAGGCTAAGTCTGTGTGCAGAAGACATCCGAGATCAGTTAGAAAAAATGGGCCACACTTCTGACTTATGTTCTCAGCTTGGAGCAGTTCTGGGTATGCTGGGTGACTGCTGGTTTGTCCTCTCTCTTGCTCTGTCTTCTTGTAATTTTCCTTAGACTATGTTGATTTATTGGTATTGTGAAAAAAATTTCTTTTAAGTGTTTTGGTTGAAATAACAGGAATGCGCGTGTTTAAATAATCTATGAAATATGTTTGATATGAGCCACGAGGGTGCTAGAACAAGCAAGTTAGTTTTGGAATTACTATGAATTGTCAAGTATAATATGATGATGAAGAATCCTTACAGGAAAGGAAGCCTGCATTTATTTTGGAGCTCAACTTTGTTAATGATAATTGTGACCTCCTCCTAATTTGAATGTTTTCAAGCTGTAAGCATACAGTTGCTTTTCAAGGGTTGGGTGCATTGGATTTATGTTTAGTTAAGCTTGGGATTTCTTGTATATGCTTCAATGGCATATTTCTTCTATATCTGTAGATCTTAAATATAGAATAAGACAAGGAATGGCCTAAGACCTCTTGGTCTAGTGGCACTGGGGGGGTTGCAAGTTCAATCCCTGTCAAAATAAATAAATAAATAAGACAAGGAATGTTCTTCAACTGTTACTGATTTACTGAATGTACTGATGGTGTCTTACCCTTGGTGCATCTAATTTTATGATGTACTGATTATATCCGAGACATCTTATTCTTGGATCAATGATATACCAATTTTATGATTTGTAAAATTCTCGTTCATTTTCAGAAAGAAAGAAATAAATAAAAGAGTACTTTAGCTAACATTACAAAAGGTCCAACCAGCCAAAAATCTATAGGCGGGAATTTAGATGTGCTTTCTGTAACTGGGTGGAAAAACTTGTTTCTAAAATGAAACTAGAACTTCTGTAATGGAATATGAGCATTTTTATTGTTCAATTACTGTTGTACTTGTCATCATTAGAGAATAATGGTAAATGTCTCTATCTTTGAGTGAATTCTTCAACTTGTCATTTTGCTGCAGTCGAGCAACTGGTGATGCTGATTCTGCCATCTCTTATTTTGAAGAGAGTGTTGAATTTCTTTCAAAACTGCCAAGAGATGATCTCGAGGTTATTGCATAACAACCTTTACTATGTGTTATTGGTATCACCCATTTCACCCAAAACCTCCTCTGATTGCGTTTACTTCTCTTTCGCTTCCTTTGTAGATAACACATACACTTTCTGTTTCGCTTAACAAAATTGGAGATCTGAAATATTACGCTGGAGACCTGCAAGCTGCAAGATCTTACTACTTTAGGTCTTTAAATGTTCGACGTGACGCTGTCAAGAATAATCCAAATGTTTCGTCCCAGGTTAGCTACTGTTGGCTCACAATAATATGGTCATAGTTGTGATGATGACCTTAATTTATTTGGCTGCAAATATTGAGGCACAATTGTTGTAGTATCTATCTAAAATGTTTGGTCCAATTTTTGTTACTGGATAAACAGACTGGATTGACTTAGAATTGGAGCGTCCATTTGCTGTTATGTTGTTAACAAGTGAAATAAAACTTGTAATTTTTGTTATCTAAATGAATACTGTGAGATATTTAAGTCCTTAAGTTATGAGCAAAAGGGAGAATTATGGATTTGCATTACATTGCGAGTGCTGAAGATTCTCGCTTCATGATTAAACATGTGGTTAGCTTTTACTCAGTGCCTCAAGGGAGGGAGGGTCACGTTGTGTTTAGTTTTATTCCCCTGAAAGGGCGCAGAAATTTTTTCCTACTGAATGACTTTGTTTGAATTTCCATGAAACTATATTTGATTACGATAATCTCTCTTCCGAAAAATAAAGGTTAATAATCTACCTAGAAAAAAACCGGCTGTCAGATTTCATTTTATGTTCCCCAAATTAACGCCTGAAAATTTATTTTTACTTTTTGAGGATTCATCATGGTTTCTTACCACGGCTTTGCAAATATTTTTCCTGTTGCTTCTTGTGATTACAGATCCTGGATCTGGCTGTATCACTTGCAAAAGTTGCAGATGTGGACAGGAGCTTAGGGAATGAGGATGTTGCGGTCAACGGATTCGAAGAAGCCATAAAATTGGTAGAACCGTTGAAATTGAAACCTGAAGAAACAGGCCTTGAGCAACGGGTAAGGTTTCCTTTCATGTCTAATGTTGTCTCATTCTGTCATTCATGCTTTGGATCCTGATAATCGATTGGACTACTCGTTTCGATGCAGCTCGTTTCGGTGCTAGAGTTCCTTAAAAGCCAACTTGTGGAGAAACAAGCTGAGACAGCACTCTGAGTTAAGCTCTTTCGTTGATGAAGAGAGAGAACAAAACGAGCACCAACCGCAGCTTTTATGATCTATGACGAAGATGATGTATTTTTCGCAGTGGCAAACTTGAATAAAGCGCCTTCTGTTCTTGTCTAATATGCCTCGGCAACGCTATCAGCAAGTGCCACTGAACTTGTTGTATATAAGAGTCTCATATGCGAGCGAACTTCAGCAAGTAGCACAAGTACCAACCTTTTTTCCTTATCTGAGTTTGATTTGTTGCACATTACTGAACTCCTCCTTGTAATATTCTCAATAAATTAATGGGAAAATACAAGAAAATCTTGTTCTATTAACTTCTCAAGACCATGAGCTAACGGGTTTCATGAAATTAAAACAAGATGCGTAGCCCCGCCACCACAAACAGAAACCAAGGTATCAACATGTGTGTGTATGTATGTATGTATATATACACGGTTCTGCTTCTGTGTAAAACTAAGATCAATATAACTTGCAATCCACATCATTCTAAAAGAAGTACAAGAATACCCTAAATTAATGGTCCTAAATTTGAGAACAAAAAATAGGAGCAATCTTGCACTTTTACTCTAAATTAAACGGCTTAAACTGCTTGAGAGTGATTTGGTTTAATTTGATTATTGTCAAAAATATCAAACGGCTCAAATCGATTGAAAAACATATATATATTTTAATTTGATCGGTGATTTTTTTAAAAAAAACATTTAAACTGCCCGCGAACACTCCTAATAAACATGAAGGGGCTAAACATGAGATGATGGACACAATTTACTAGGAGTGCACAAGAAAAAACCTGTGGGTCCATGTCACCACCTGCTTATTTTTGGGCAGCACGGTTACAATCTGCACTCAGAAATAAACAGTTGCAGTTTGTATAATTTTAAGCTGTTTCAAATCGCGCCGTCTACTTATCAAATATGCATGTATATTCTTTTATGGGTGTTTATATAGTGAATGTTGGCTCTTTGCTTGGTTTAATATTTATGATTTAGATTTCAAACTTAATTTATTTGAATATTATTTTTAGAAACTTGTGCAATTGTGCTATGTATGCTACGATTGATTTCATTTTATTTACTTTGTTTCTAAATTTGTACCTCTTGCATGTGTATTTGTGTATGTGTTTTCCCGCAACTCTTGCATATTATAAGCCTCAAGACTTTACGCCAATAAAAGATTTTAAATAATTATTATTTTTTTATATTCTTTAGTATTTAGTTAACAACATTACATTTTCATTTTTTTTATAGCCTCACATTTTGATGAACGGTTTTGGGGAAATGACCATAACATCATACAATGTTTAGTTGTTCTTTTTGAATCTATAAAAATGTAAATGCCTATACAATATGTATACTTACATATATAAGTAGCTAAGTTTGTAAAAGTTTAATTTCTAATTTAATAGTTCAAAAACAATAGGTACTAAATCCATACCGCCTAATATACCCGCTAAAAAATCCGCTCACTCCGGCAAAGATTTGGGTAGTTATGGATTGGATTTTTCAAAAACCGTCAGTATAAATACCGCTTAAACAACTCATACCGACCACTTTGCTCCCCTACAATTTACTAATTTAGGATGTAATTTCTAACGTTTTAAAATGCATAGGCAAAAATGGAAGAAGGAACATAGTTTTGAGGCCAAAATAGAATTGACAAAAAAGAATGACAAATTTTATAAATTCCCCTTGAACTTTGTCACTTGTGTTAACATGTCTCTTGAACTTTAAAATGTGTATGTTGTTCTCCCTAAACTTTGTCACTTGTGTCAACATGTCCCCTGAGGTTAACTCCGTTAAATTTTTTTACCGGAAATGCTTATAAACACTCCCTGAACTTTGTCACTTGTGTCAATATGCTCCTTAAACTTTAAAATGTACCTATTTTACCCTTCGAACTATGATATGTCTCTAACTTTTCTCCCTCTATCTTGATTCTATCAGTTTTTTAAATAAAAATGTTGATATGAACATTAAATTACTAATTATCTATGATATTTGACAATTAAAATTTGTTAAGTTGATGGTTTTCTTAAGGTTTGTGTTGATTTCTTTTAAAATGTCAATAAAATAAATGACCTGAACGCATTTAGATTTTGAAATGCTATATATGTATAAAACATGAACATGTTTTATGTCGAGCACTTTTATCTAGGTGAAATATTAAGAAAAAAAAACTAACAAAATCCATTACATTATATCGATTTGCTCCTCATTTTTTCCCTCTTTATTGCCTCTAATTAACTAATGTTTTGAGAATTGGTGCTTAACTAACATTTTTAGAAGAGAATGTATTCAATAAACCTCAAACATCATAGATAATTAATAATTTAATGGTCATATCAACATTTTTCATTTAAAAAACTAACAGAATCAAGATGTAAGAGGAAAAATTAGAGACATATCATAGTTTAAGAGACAAAACAAGTACTTTTAAAAGTTCATGAGACATATTGACACAAGTGACAAAGTTATGGGGCATTTATAAGCATTTCTGTTAAAAAACTTAATAAAGTTAGCCTCAAAGAGCATGTTGATACTAAATGATAAAATTCAAAGAGTATAACATATATATTTTAAAGTTAATGAGACATGTTGACATAAGTGATAAAGTTATAATTTTATAAAATTTATCCCAAAAAAAGACATAATTTAGGAATTAGGGCCAAAAGTGAAACTAATCCAAAATAAAAACCTGACGCCTGAAAATCAGGCAAAAGGCATTTTTGGCCCTGTACTTGGAAAAAGTTTGAATCAAACCCGCCTCCGCCTCCGCGTCGCCGCCGCGCGTCCTCATCAGCTCCGAAGAAGAAACCCTAGCCGCCACGACAAAACGCCATCTCCGTCGCTGGAAGAGATACTGAAGAAGCGGAGGAACCGGGAGGGGGGAGATTCGAAGCGTCCAATTAAGTTTTTGCGTCTCATCTCTTCTCCCTCATCACTGCTTCTAGAAGTCCGTCTTACTCTTTCTAGAACTTTCCGATGAATCCTTCTTCGAAATCGCTGAGCCATGGATGTCGAGCAATTAAGGTTTCACTTAACGCGTAAACACTGCTCGATGAAATGCCTTTAAAGGAAACATCGTTTCGTGCTCGTATGTATACTTTATTTTCGGCATATTTTTTTTTGCTTTTTAGTCCGTTGTGGTTTATTATTAGTTTTTTGGTGGATTGTGCTGTCTAAAAACTCGAGGAACACGTATCTGTAGCAGTTTAACTATATTCTCACATGGTAATGCTAAATTGGACAAATTTAGTAGTGACGATGTACAGTTTATTTGTTTTTGTGGTGTTTGAAGAAAGTCAAGTTTATTGTTTTTTTTATTTATTTAAAGATAATGGATATTATTCTCATTTCATAAAACTCAAGAATCTCTTGGGTAGCATATATATATATATATATAGTACGTATTTATTTCATGGATTTACTTTCCCGTTCGAAATATTCAGACTAATGAACTATACAGTTTCCTTTATTAGAGCTTTGAAGATTTATAAAACGAATTGTTGAATAGTCCTGAACATTGTTCATACCTCGTCGTGGTGATTTGTTTTTCTTTTTTCTTTTATAATATATA